TTCGAATGAGATGTAAAGTTCACGCGGTTAAGCAAACCCAACATGTTGGAAACGATTTTGAAAATGCATCGACACTGCCACTAGTACAAAAGTCGTGCAATCAATATCGACGGCATGGAAGCAAATGACTACGCTTCAAGACCGGAAATATTGAAAAAAAAACATTGCGCTTAAGGTAATTTAGGTTACCTGATCGCCAATGCCTGTGGCCAAAAACAGACACTCGCAGGAGCGACCCAGCGAGGAAGCAAGTACAACGTTTGCATGCACAGCGCACGCACACACGCGATAACTTTCGGAAACCAAAAGAGGGTTTGCCTGGTAAACTGTTTAACGAGATGCTAGTCGTGTTTGCCTTGACCCACTCACTGAACCAATCATCACCACCGTGTATCACAAATAACAAGCAGTCGAGATGCACTGTGTGAGCCATACTGATCATGAAAGGATGCAAGACGCTCGGCAAAGGCAATTAACCTCTAAATATGAGGTAGCTAAAATCAGCGTGTCGGAAAGTAATTAATAGGCGACCAAAATTGACCCTACCCAACCCCCAGGTTTCCATTGGTTGCGTAGTTTATAATGACCGAAGATAAACACTTGCTGCAAATAACCCAGGAGGCAAACAAAAAATCCGCCTGTTAACATCCTTTACACGAATAACAAAGTAAAATTAACAGCATCTTTGACTTGGTAAAAGACAAAACCTCTTATCGAAAACTTGCATTCGAGGTAAACGACTAAACTGGCGAATACTAAGATTCCTGTAGTTTGGTGAAGACGTGACACCAACACGATCGTAAGAAACATTGCTAGCTTCAAGCAACCAACATAACTTCAACCTATGGGAGTAAATTCACTTCGAAATCGTATAAATGGACACGCCCTTTAAACGAGGCTTCCGATAAATTATTAATTGGAACAGGAGTGGAGTTGAGAATTCATGCTGACCAACAAGTGGGGTATCAGGGCAGCCTGATATCATCAGGGGTACATTGGCGACGCTTTTATCCTCAGACTACGAATATAATGAAGTCGCACGTGTACAAAGTACTGAGCTACATAAATAACACGAAATCTATCCCCATACAGTAATAGATGACCAAACCCACTCAGTTTGCCAATAAGACAAGACTCGCTGAGGTGGACATACATTTGTTTTTGATCATTAGTTAGAGAATTGGTCGATAAGCTTGGTCGCAATATCTGGGGCATGCGAAAATGGCTGACGAAAAATGGAACACGAAACAAAGCTCAAATATTGCCTTACGGGGGGTAGTTGGTGGCACATCTGCTTAGAAGATGACTGGTTGTCAGAGTCGTGGTTGTTTGAGAACTGTCCCACACCTCCGACTACAGGCTGGTAACCAATGGTGGCACTACCCTTTGCGGGCGATTGACCTGATCCGGAGGATGAAAGAGAGGGGGCCACATAATCAAGGGACTCAGAGCAAGTCACCGCAGTTTTTCCGCTTAAGGTCGAAGTGGTTCCATTTCGGCCCGAGCTTGACTGTTGAGTTTGCACTCGACCACCGGTTGGCGCACTTGTTGGTGGTGGTGGTGGTAGGTCTGATCGGCTCTTACGCCGACCCAGGGTATTTCGCAGACTCGAAAACAGACCCTGCATGAAATAGTGAACGAATATTTTAAAAAATCTATGGCGCAACTCTTTCAATCTCGAGCATAATAAACGCCAAAACAATTCACACAAGTCCCAATCATTCAAAAATGCCAGGTTGTGTGATTTAGTCAATCTGAGCGATGTTTAGGGTGTATGCATTAGATTGGTAACAGATTCCACAGGGTCATGTCACTTCGTTTTAATCCAGAAAATATATACCTTCTAATGAAATACGGGTTGCCAGATTTTAAAACTGGCATTATAAAAAGAACAGAAGTTGGCAAACTTACAAGAAGCCTATTACATCTCTTTACCAGAGTAGCAAAGAGCATGGGATAAATACACTACGATAGTAGGGGATGAAAGTAAGACAAATTAAGTCCAACGCCGATTTCTCTACGTACTTAAGAAACAAAAAGTAAAAAAATCTTGGCCTCTAAAAGGTATGACGCAAAAGCTCCCAGCAAATACGCGGCTCAGAGACTGTTCTCTCAACCTTTGTGAAATTTTTAGCTGTTAAATGTTAAAATTAGTTAGCGCTTCCAACAGCTCAACAATTACTGAGGCGTTTTCAGGATCTATGGCTTCAGGTAAATTCAAAATTAAAAAGGAAAAAAAGATTTTTTTCGACATAAGACTGTTATTGCTTGTATTTTATTAAGTAATTGTGAACTTCTAAGGGGCCGTATGTAAATAATGGATAGGAGTCATACATCGAAACCAAGCACAAATTAAACACTAGTTTATAAAAACTTAAATAATGGGTCAATATGAATCTATTAAAAGATCAGATCAAAACACTATAAAAATTCCCTGTTGTTTTTACTTAATACTGATCAACTGTACAATTGCCTTACAATAAGAAGGCTGTCTAACTTGAGTGACATATTAACTGTTTAATCATTTATGGTACTGCTGTAATTTCAACGTGGGAGTACTGAGACTGGGACACAAATCGAAAGTTGCGTCATTAATATGGTGTCTTAAGCCATGGGGCCATATTTAGAAGGTAAACAGTAGCTAAACAATGTTGTATGGCATACCTGTTTGGACCGTTTGACGTAGTTGCTTGGAACATAGCCAACTTGACCAAAGGAATTCATAACCTTCCACCAATGCTGAGTATCATCCATGAGAGTTAACTTCTCTCCTTTATGAATATCCAGCTCTTGATTGTCCGTTGCCTTGTAGTCGAACTTAGCAACAACTATGTCAGTCTCTTTTACGGTCGACATTGACAGCTAGAAAGTCATTAAAATAACTTGGTAAGTGTAGGGATCCCCAGAAAGTTGGAGATATCGGATATAAGTATAAAACCGTTTGAATAGAAAACCTAATTGTGTACGCCAATATACTGAAACTAGGCATTTTGATTTCAAGGAGGCATACATGCGAACAATAATTACGATACATCGATTATAACTTCCATTACGAGTGCAGCTTTTACCATTAAAGTTAGTCTAAATGCGTAAAAAAAACGTTTGAATACAAAAAAATAAAATTTCAACCAGAACAACAACTAGGAAGCTTTCTGTAAGGAAATGAAGGGAACAAAATGATAACATAGTAAAAAATAAACATAAATTTAAAAAGCTATCAGTCAATTAAAAAACACTGTAATTTTACTACAAGCAGCACTAACATGCTCCCGCCTACAAAGTGCTTCACTCCGAGTACCATATACAGAATACGATTTTCAACATGAACAGGATTACGATCTATACAATGCAAGAATTTACATACAAATTACCCCTCCTAGTTACTTCTACATAAAACCTTATTACGAAAAGATAAGGACTGTCAAGCAGAAAGAAACCAGTTGTTCACATTTACCAAAATATGTTACGTGAAACCGTTGCCCCGACAATGAAATATAAAAGAACTCGAAAGAAACGCCGCAGATATTATAAGTTAAAACATTGGTGGAAGAACCTTGCCCCAGTAGCTTTATAAACATTATTTTGATAATTTTCGGAAAAAATGTTTTGTGCATCACTTCATTTAGATAAATTTAAATATTTGTGTATACAGTCCTAGTAAATCTTGTTGACATTTACAACAGATGTATTTAATTTAATACGTATTAGCCGAATTTTTCATTTGCGTTAGTCTAATATGTGCATCATCAATGGTTTTATTCCACGGTAACCACTTGCGTCTCGCAGTTTCATGTAAATATTTACTGCACGAAAATATCATTTTGTTAAAAAATACTTGCATCTTCACAAAAATGATTAAGGTTATTGGAGTCCATCAATTAAGTATAAAAATTCGCAATAATTTTTGCTAGAAAAGAGTTGATAGTTAAAATTGCCAAAACTGCTCTCCATCATAATATTCTCATACTAGCTGGTGCAGGTATGTCATTAAAATTATAATTAATTTCGAAATATATATGACCAATATATGGAAAAATGTTCCAGTAAACACCTGTTAATTGCTTTTTAAGTAAAAACCAGTCAGCCAGCAGAAAATGATAAGTTTTTTCTGGTAAGTTTTCTTTTGCCGAATAATGTTCTTTTTACTTGAAATGGTTGTTCACTACCTTTGACATTGTGTGGGATGTTAGAATCAATTTGTGTCTTTTGTGGTCAAGTGCTGTTTTTATTTAATCGCGAATTAATATAGCACCGCCATAAATCTCAGGTACATAAAATTGCTCAAGATAATTAGCCAAACTTTTGCATTCAAGTGTACAACAGCCCATACAAAACACTACCAGCCATCGAGAAAGTGTGGTTGATAAGAAACATGATGAGATTTGTGGACACAGCCTAATAAATGAGTTTGAATGAACTGTGGATGTCTGAGGTTTGTCACCTTGACCTGTCGATTTCCGCAAACATTCATATCTTAGTTAAAAGCAGATTTAAGATCAAGTTCTTGACCCATTCTAGTTGCTGAAATTGTCAACGATGGTTTAAGTCAAGTCAAGCTATTGCAGCTGTGATGACGTATTTTTATGACTTTACTCGCAAAATGAAAAGTACTTAAAAAAAACTTTGTAAACTAAATTAAAAAAAAATTAATTGGATTTAAACAACTGAAAAGCCGAATTTAGGTCCTTTTAATTTCCGGAACACCAATATGTTAATAGTGAACAAGGCGAATTTAAAAGGCAGTTCTACTGAATTTTTTACAACAGTTCTAATACAAGTGGTAAAGTTGAAAAATTCAAATTTTTAAGGAGAAAGGAAAGTAGGAAGTCAGTGGAACTCTACACAAACAGGTTCCTACTTCCTAATATCATATATGGTTTGCAAATCGCTGCACATTACCTAACGGATTTACCTAGAATGGACGATCTAAGGTTGGTAGGAGTATGAACAAATTTGGTACCTCTAAAAGAGTTTCAATTTTTTCGTGAAACAGGATTTACGACATCTTTACGTTTCTTACGTGCCTGATAGCTTGTTGTTATTAGATTAAAAACGAGTCAGTATTCCTTTTAAATGCAGATAAAAGATTCCAAGCTGCCAATGAATGCTGGAGGAAAGGCAATTATTGTCTTTCGAAGTACCTAAGAGGATTTCCTTTAAATTTAGGACCGATGTGTTATTTACGTGTGTGTTGCAGCATATTTATCCTCTGCTTTGCAATAAGTGAAGACTAGTGGCATGTGTGTGTAAACCAATAAAATTTGCGCGAAAGTCATTGATACTAAGAATCTATAAATTTAATTTTAAACATTTTTTAAAACGCAATGTAACAACATCAAACATGACAAATCATTAGGTGCGTTGCATATTGGATTTCTTCATTGCGACTCAGCTGACTAATGCATTGACATTTCATTCTATCAGTCTTAGTCAAAAAATTAATTTTGGAGACATATTTAAACCTAGTCTCGTGTGGTGAATGTTTCTATTCCTTGCCAATCCGATAAATAACGACTCATTACAACCCGAAAATAAAGATGAGGCAAATAGATGTTTATTAAACAGTCAATTCGATCCAATTTGGCCAGGTATGTCTTCATGTGGGCTTAATAATCGGTTGAGTTTCTATAAAAAATTAATAAAGTAAGGGTAAGTCACCGACATCAAGGCAACCTCTAAACCGGCCTAATTCACAAGTTTAAAGACGAACTATTCAAGTGTGATTACTTCGAGGCACCGTAACCTTATAAAAACCGTCTTACGTTATCTGTAATGTGAACAGAGGGTCTTAGGATTGTGTCAAAACTGGATAAAGGGAAAGTGGAAATACTGGGAAGTGCTGGATCAATTTAACCATTGCTTGATTGTTAGGACGGAATATAGCTTTGATTCTTGAGGGCAACTTATGGACGGACAATTTCAATCAACAGAAAAAATTTGCCTAGGCGTTAAACAACCTTAAATTGACAATCGTAAGGTGGTTACAGTGGCTTTTTGACGTTATTGACATGGATAATGTCATAGATGGGCGTTAACAAATTCGTCTATGTATGCACCTGTCGTTAGAAATCGCCATCGTTTGTGTGGGCATAATTTCCTCAAAGAAGCAATAAATGAGGGGTTTGGTGATCATTTCATCAAGCAGGCGGAAATTTGTACCAAAACAACTTTTACTCTATTGGGGCTGATGCCTTTAGTTTACGTATTCTGATGGCCGACTAGATCAAAGGTAATGTGTTTAAACGTTTTCTGAATACAGCTTTTGTAGTAAATGGTGATTTTAACGGACAGTGAAACATTTTAACGAAACGAATGAGTTTAGAATGATATGCTAGAGTTTGAAAATGCTTGTATCCAAGACGACGCTTAAGATAATGGAATAAAGGAGTTAAAATCGAAGGTAATGAAACGGGTGAAACCATTTGACACAGTCCCGACAATTTATTCACGCACAGGAAACGTTTCCGTTCCATCGGACGTTATTAGGACAGTGTAATATTTATCGGTTGTTTTACATCGAATATCCACTGCTCGGCATTTATGATTTGCTCACTGAACAAGCAGTGCTCGTAAAAACACATTATTTGCACTTGCTCATTGCGGTGTGCTCTTTTTGTCCACATTGGTTTGCATATACTGTTTAATGATTTTCGCTCTTAGTCCTACCGTTTAGGATAACTTGAATTTGTTGTCAAGCGTCCTAAAATCGCCTTTTTTGTTAATTTAGCATGTCTTTTCGAACGTAGGGTTCACATCTTCATAAAATTTTGATGCTTGCAAACTGCTATCAGCCGATGATTAAAATGGTCTGCACAGGTAAAGCCATGAGACGGCTGAGGGAGTCCGACCAAATCTCTGCGGACTTGTTGGAAACCCGCGTTTGGGATGGCAAAATATCATGGTTGCGATTAATTGTGTCAGTGGATTTTTCTGGACTGACGTTGAGTACAGGTGAGCATTTGATAATATCTGATTGTATAATTGTAAAACCATGGGTCCTAAGATGAGTGAAAACTTGCTTTTGATGCAGCAAATGGTTGTCGTTCCTACAGGTGACAAGAATAACACGAATATTGTCAATCGAAGTGCATTTGCAAGAGCTCAGACGGAATGGCAAAGAGTACAGCCTTCTTTTGGGCAACAAGAATCTGAGTGTAAGCCCGAACAGGGTCTAGACTTGGAAAATCTTTAACGTCATCGAAAACCAGGGGACAAGCGAGAATTCCGAGAAATTGGCTACCGATGAAATCTGTAACATCATTTAGGGGGTCTAAAATCTTTATGAGTTCCTTAGTTTGCCGTTTTCACAGGCACCTTATGAAGTGAACGAATTAAGTGCTATTGATAGCGCGAATTATGCCAAAAGTACAAATATCCGAAATTCCCCTTTGGCTGCTCAAATTTCGCATGCAATTAATCTGGCGTTAACAGTTTTTAGTGAACCTCTAGTAATGATATAGTAAATGACTTGGAGGGCGAGCTTGATGAGAGCCTGGGTCACCTTGACAATTACTGGAAACTTCTTCGAGATTTTTTAATAATTGTAAGAGCGGAAAATGCCACTTAAAATTTGCTTGATCGACGAACGGTGCCAATGATGAACATTGTGAAATTGATATTAGTGGTGTGCTTATAGATAGTTGCATAATTCCACTGTTTAACGCTTATTCTTTACTCTATTTATTATCTTAATATTTGTTGTTTAGGATCACGCATGTACTATGTTAAATGGCCTAGGTCGCCTTTTGTTGTTCTTCTATTCCCGAGTCTTCATTCGACAGTTCAGAAGCCACTATTGTTTAGAGTTTAATCAAATTGGTTGAGGCAGGATCTCCTTACATTGATAGAGTGGTATTTTTCACAATGAACGCACACTGCTCGACGTCAGCTATAACAAAAAAACTAAGAAAGGCATTCTGAACTATTTTTTGGTCGCTGAATATCGGCTACTGTGAAAATATATTGGAACTGTCGTCTTGGCTCGAATCAAAGTTGAGCAACTTGTGACCAAACCTGGCAATGGATAGGTTGTTCGCAGCAAGAAGCTGTAGACTGGGAGGAATTTCGCTAATCTCCTGTAACTCAAATATTTACAGAATTTTCTGGAGACTTTAAAAAAACAAATATGTTGCTATCTTTTTGAGTGCAGTACAATACTACTTCGCCCACTTGTGTGCAAAAAACAT